TTATTGAAAGGTGTGTTTTTAACTGTTTATAAAATTGTGATTTGTTATTCAGATTTCTGATTTACAAGGAATAAAAATATTTGCTAGTAGGGAAATGTAAGATGCTGTCCCTTTTCTTATGTGGACATTCTTACTTGTTGAATGAGGCAGAAAAGGGACATTCTGTGTGGAAGATCAAGAAAAGCAATTTGAAGGAACATAAACAGTGCTGAGAGAAACAGAGTAAAGCAGTTCCTCAGATAAAAGTTATGAGAATACCTGAGACAGAATAGCACTTCAGAGGGACAGATTCTGACTGATGGTAGTGATGACTGCCATGCATTATTTTCCAGCAGCTCATCTGATTGGTACTTTGAAGGTTACTGCTGGGAAACTTTGAATCAAAACTGTTTGTAAAGCTTTGGTATATGGACTACATCTACTATATCTGACAGAAGTATGGAATTTGGGGTTTCTTGACCTAAGCTACAGATAAAACAGTATACAGAAAAAGGCTGATTTTAGTAAAGAAAGTAAATAAAAAGCTAGATAAGAAGATCAGGAGTTAGAAACAGAAGAACCAAGTGAGGGTAAAAGATTGCTGAAGCTGACAGGAGAATATGCACACAGAGAATGAGACACGAGGAAAAAGAACATCGAAATATATTGAGTTGAAAAGCCACTGGTGCTGAGAGCTGACAGAAGCTATGAACAGTTGACTACATACTCTGCTATTGATGAAGGGAACTGATTTGACTGGAGGAAAGTTCTGCTATTTAAAAGAGCTGATTGTAAGAGGATAATCTTCTGCCATGTTCTAATGAGTAGCTGGGGGAAATCTGCTTTCCTATCTCATGCCATCTAAAGTCTAAGAGAAGGGAAAGCACTCAAAGACTTGTCTATGTTGCCCTTTACTTTCCTCAGTGGATCAAGAAGGGAAACCCCTTTCAAAGCCTATATATATGTGTGTGTGTGTGTGTGTGTGTGTGTGTGTGTGTGTGTGTGTGTGTATAGAGGGAGAGAGAGAGAGAGAGAGAGAGAGAGAGAGAGAGAGAGAGAGAGAATAAAGTCTGCATAGCTTTTCAAATCTGAGGATTAAAAGGAACTGATTTTCACTGAAAGAGTGTCCTGCTGCCTCAGCATAAGACTAAGGGAGTAGGTTTCAGAAACTCTATGGACCCCAGAGTTAGTGCAGATATTAGCTAAAAATATTCAACACTGCTTCGGTGGCCTAAGAGCAGCAGAGAAGCACATTTGTCCTACAGGATATTGGAAAGCTTCATTTCTTTTCTTTTCTTAGGCAATTGGGGTTAAGTGACTTGCCCAGGGTCACACAGCTAGTATATGTGAAGTATTTGGTCTGAGGCCAGATTTGAACTCCGGTCCTCCTGACTTCAGGGACAGTGCTCTATCCACTATGCCACCTAGCTGCCCTATCGGAAAGCTTCAGAAGAGGAGTAGGGAATGTATGATAGAGGCTTTTCCCTAAAAAGACAACCGATATCTCTGCCACAGTCAGATTAATGATTTGCTTCAGCACATGGGTTTTCCTTCTCAAAAATCTCATTGCTGAGTTTATAAAAGTTCATGTTTCCTTGCTCCCACAGATGTTATTTGCATAAGTAAGAGAGTGGGACCCAGATTTATGAATAAATGATTGTTTTAATTGATATTGTTTTTTCTTTTATTGAGTAAATCTCATTTTATGATTATTTTTGCTTTAGCCTTTTTGCTTAGTAAATATTTCAAGATTAATAACACCATTAATGTAATGGTGTTATTGTTACTAATTTGTAAAAATGGGAAACTCACTGGTGGGGGCTCATGAGCTATAGTAATGAATGTAAATGCGTATTTCTTTCACATTGAAGCTACCACCAGGACCCTGAAGGTGAGTTGTAGCAGTGTAACCCTTTTCCAGTGTAATACTCCAAACTTTCATCTTGGCTGTAGGAAAGGTAAGTGAGTCAAGACAACCCAGGAAGAGACAGAGCCTAAATAGAGTCAGGGGTTGATGTTACACCCTTTATAAATGTTATACTTAAAAGTGTATTCACAGAAAAAAAAATCATGACATCCACCTCTAGGTTAGCAGTGTGTTATGATAGAAAGCAGACATGTTTTTGACTTAGAATCAGAATGCATGAATTCTAAGAAAAATGAAGAAAACAATACTTGTACCTTCTATCTTATAGGATTGTTGTAAGGAAAATGTTTTATACTGCAAAGTGTTATATAAATGAGCTATCATTAAAGCTTATTATTACCATAATATTTTTCTATAAAATTGCAAATAAATCCTTTCTTTTAAAATCCTACCCGTATTTGCATCCATGGGGTATGTGAGGTAACACTTTTTAAAGGGTGTTTCTGTAAATATATGCTCTAAATTGTTACACTTAATTTTAAACATTTTAATAAGTGACCTTGCCACTAAATCTTTCTTTTTAGCCATTCTCACTGGTGACCACGTACATTTGGAAAACTTTGTGACATCTTATTTATTAAGTTAAGTAGGCAGATTGAACACTGTGAAATAAGCTTTTGGTAACTACAGTTATAGTTTTGTATTCATGCAGTTTCCTTGTCTAGACTCCTTAGTGCCTTTTACATTAGTGTCTGAGTGTTGACAGATAAACTCGCTGGACAAATGAGGTCATACCCAGCACCTTCCTTAAAGCATAATAGTGCTATAATTTCCAAGTTGCACTTTATGTCCAATTGTTAAATATTCAGCATTTCCTAAATGGAGGTTTGATGGATATTTGAACCATCTCCAGCTCCTTAAAATGGAGCTGACCTTAACACCCATAGGTTCTGGAAATAGCAACCACAGTTTTAAAATTATTCTTAAGCAATCACTTTTATTTAGTACACAGCTGATGGGATCACAGATTAGAGCTGCAGGACATTGCATGCTATGAAGACCAACCCTTTCATTTTACAAAGAAGTTAAATGACTTGCCTAGGGTCACACAGCCAGTAAGTAGAGTCTTCTTGACCCCATCTCCAGCATTCTTTCCTCTATACCACACAGGGGGTAAGTTTACTGGCATAATTTGATTTAATAAACACTTTTTAAGTAACTACTGCATGCAAGAGACTGTGCTGGCCCTGGTAATGCAAAGATGCTTGATTAACAAGTATTTTTTAATTGCTAGTTGTAGGCAGAAAACTATCTTTTTTTTTTAAAAAAAAATAGTGTTTTTTCCAATTACAACATTCACTTTTATAAGATTTTGAGTTCCAAATTTTTCTCCTTCCCTCCCTGTTTTGTAAGAAAAATGTCTATGAAAATTCAGAGAATCATGAGAAGCCTTATATGAACTAATATAAAAGGAAGTAAGCAGAAGTGGAGGAAGGACAGGAACCATAATAGCTAGTATTTATATAGAACTTTAAGATTTGTAAAGTGCTTTATAAACATCATCTTATTGTATCCTCACAACAATGCTGAGAGTGAGGTGCTATTATTTACTAATCCCTATTTTACTGATGAGGAAATTGAAGCAGACAGTTCAAATGACTTGCCCAGAGTCACTTGCACTTCCACTATATGGAGTTCTTGTGGAGAAAACAGTTTGGGAGGCTTAAGGAGTTATATGTTAAATATAACAATAAATAATAATGAAGAAATGTAAAAAGATGAGAATGAGATAATAATAATAACCCATTTGTATAGGACCAAGTTTGCAAAGCACTTTTTTTTCATAGCAACCTCATGGAGTAGGTAGGTGAACCATTATGTGCTCTGTAAGTAGAAAAAAAAAGAGAAAGAGAAAGGGTTGTGATGAGCATAGTGAACAGAGAGCTGGACTAAACGACAGGAAGATCTGGGCTCAACTTCTGCCTCTGACATTTATTGGCTATGGGACTGATACAGTCAGTTCTCTAGGCAAATCTCTAGTGCAGTAAAGTGCAGAGCACGTAGTGATTTTCATTAATAGAGGGAATTTTCTCACAGGGATTTCCATACACCAATGGAATCATACATCTGATAGTAAAAAAAGTAAAATATTTAAAATAACATTATATGCACTGGTAGAAGAATCTCTGTGGACCAAACGACACTTAAACACAAAAGTATTGAAGATGGCATTGGGTTCCCAAAGTGCATGGGCATTGTTTGCATATAATTTGTGAAAAAGCACAATGAGAATGTGGCCCTTAGATCTTATTGAATGGTTTCCATGTATGGTAAAATAATAATAATAATAATAATGTTGTGTTGTTAAGATTGCTGAGTTTTGCATTACAAAAAAAAGTGAAATGTCCATTTAGATTCTCCTGGTTTTAGAGGCATAGGTAGCTAGGTGGTGCAGTGGATAGGACAATGGGCTTGGAGTCAGAAACACTCATCTTCCTGAGTTCAAATCTGACCTCAGACACTTATTAGCTGTGTGACCCTGGGCAAGTCACTTAGCCCTGTTTGTCTTAGTTCCTCATCTGTAAAATGAGCTGGAGAAGGAGACAGAAAATCACTTCAATATGTTTGCCAAGAGGACCTCAAGTGAGGTCACAAAGAGTCAGACATGACTGAAACAACTTAACAATAATAACAACAACAACAAAATTTGGGGGTGGGGGTGTGGAACGGGGTAATAAATCACACAATTAGCATGAAGCACATGAACTTTGGACAGCCTTCTCTAAGATGCCTTGGGGGTGAGGAGTGGAGAGAACCAAACTTGAGGTAAGAAAAGGACTGATAACTTTTGGAGATCTCTTCCTACCCTAAGAGCCCAAGAAAGTCTTCAGTCATTTAAGAACCTGAACCAGGTTTATTTCTTCTTGATGTACTTTTAACTAAGTAAAGCCTACTGACTAGAAATGAATCTATTTGAAGGCATTCTTGGAAGGAGATATTTTAATCAAGGTATTTTCCCCCTCAATTTAGCTACCATTATGAATGTCAACCCATTTGACATGAAGCATGTTGACTAATTCACCATAACAGAAGGGAGATGGGGAAGAAGGAATTAACATGCAGTTAGCTGAGGGGTTAAAGGGAACCGTAGTACCTTTCTTTTGGCTTTGAGCTGCTCGTGGTACCTGTCTGATGTGTCACCTGGGATCTCTCCTCCCCAGAGGGTAATTCCCACAATGGTGTAGGTGATGCCCATGACAAGCAATGGGAAGCAGTACACCAGGACAGTCACAATAATATGGTACCTGCAATGGAAAAGACAAAGGTTATAAGAGTATCCTAGGAAAAGAGATAGGTGGAATTGGCTCTGGTTATGAATCAAACAGAAAAACTTCAAAAAAAATGCCCTCATCATCTGAATGTTCTTCTCACATTTAAAAACAAAACAAAACAAAACACATATGCACACTAAGTAGTCTAAACAATGTTTTTATTGTTGTTGAGTCATTTTTCAGTTGTGTCTGACTCTTTGTGACCTCATTTGGAGTTTTCTTGGCAAGGATACTGGAATGGTTTGCCATTTCCTTCTTTAGGTCATTTTACAGATGAGGAACTGAGACAAAGAGGGTTAAGTGACTTGCCCAGGGTCACACAGCTAATCAGTCTCTGAGACCAGACTTGAATTAATGAAGAGGAGGCTTCTTGATTCTAGCCCCAGTGCTCTATCCACTGTGCCACTGAACAGTGTGGAATAATGAAAACTGGAAGGTTCCAAACTTCCCTGTTTGCTGTTCCCTGTATGTGGAATTCCCTCTCTTACCTGCATGCCTTCTACAGGCCATGCCTGGAATTCACTTGCTCCTTTCTGTATGTCCTAGATTCTTGTAAAGCTCAGCTGGTGTCATCTTATACACAATGATCCCCTAGTTGCTACTGCCCTCTCACTAGAAGAAACTTTCTATTTTGTCTTTACCTTTCCATGCATGTGGTGCCTCCCCCCACCTCAACAGAATGTAAGCTTCTTGAGGGCAAAGCTTGTTTCATTTTTGTCTTTGTATTTCCAGTGACTAAAACAGTGCCTGGCACATAATAAATGCTTCTTGAATGAATGGCAAAATTAGTCCTCCAGAGCTAGATGAACAGACTAATACAATTCATTTTTACCAGGCCCATGCAACACAAAAGGAACTAACTAGCTGTCACATTTCCTTTTTGAAATGGGTTGGGTCTTTGCTCTTTCTGCCAGATATGTCAAAGTAGATATTATAAATAGGTTATCCGATGTAATAAAATATATAAATATATTATATAAATATGTATATTTATAAATAGGTTCAAATATTATGAATAGATCCATTATTCTTCATTTTCTATCTGCAGAAACAATTTTGAACCAATTGTTTATGCCCTTTGTTAAGGTCAGAGTATAACTGACTTGTCTTTTAGCAAGCCAGCAGAACTATATTCTTAAGTTGTTGAGGCATATACACCTGTTACTCTCATGAAGGGAATGGGGCAGCATGAATTACTTTTAAAAATATAGAGAGAAAAATTCACAGCAATTATAAACAAAATGATGAAGCTCCATGGATAATTCCTAATTCAAGAGAAAGTCCCACTGTCTACCAGCCTGAGCTGCCATCTTTTTAATTTGTTTGCTTCTCAAACTATTTCTAGATCATAGAGATAGAAAGAAGCATCCTTAATTGTCCTGGGACCTTTTGTTTTAAAAGTCCTCATAAATAGATAGGATGAGTATGGCAGAAGAAAATTTAATCTATTAGCTTCTATTTTCTTACAAGGCTATACATATGTGGATTGAGGGTTACCTGATAATCCTGTTGACATGTGACTGACATTTAGAAAATGAAGGGCTAACATCATTCAAGCAATGGTTCAGAAGTTTTATGTATTGAATATGAATTATGGTCACCTATTTTTTCATAAGATCTTCCTGGCATTTTTTTCTGCATAATTTCATCTTTTGGTGGCCTAGGCTAATTGAGAGGATTATTATTTTTTAAATACCAACTTATTTTTCCTTTTAAAAATATTTTATTTTTTTCTAATTACACATAAGAACCATTTTTAACATTTATGTTAAAATTGTTTGAGTTCCAAATTCTCTCTCTCCGTCCCTCTTCTCCCCCCTTGTTGAGAAGGCAAGCAATTTGGCATGGGTTATACGTATGCAGTCATGCAAAACTTATTTCCATATTAGTCATGTGGTGAAAGAAAACTTAGACCCCTCCCCTCAAAAAAGGCAAGAAAAATAAAATAAAAAGTATACCTCTATCTGCATTCAGTTGACTGGATTATTGTAACTAGAAGGCAATCATAGCTGAATAATTTGTTGTTTCTAAAGAGAAAACTCACTCTAGCAGAGAAAATACTGAAATTCCAGTTGAAATTAAATGATATATAAATGTGTATTATACACACTCACATGTTTAATCTTACCATAAGAATAGTAAAGGCAAATGGCAATGCAAAATAAAACATCTACCAATTGGTAATATTCCTACAACTTTCCCCAGATCTCCTTATATGTCCAAACATAGGATTAATCCAAATCTGAGACTTCCAAGAATTGTATAATTGAATGTTTTCATTCCCTTCATCATTCAATGGGATATGTTGTCTAAAATTCAAGTCCTCAAAAAAAGAATGTTTTTCCTTTTTGATTTTCTTAAATGCAAATCCAAAATATGACACAACATATGTAGAGAAACACAAAGCCTATCCTACTGTTCCATGCCTTTCATGATTCTTTCCTAGCCTGATCTTATTTATAAGAAACATAAAAGATGAAATTAACTCACGTAAAATTCTGTTTGGGACCTTTTGGCCATTGTACATAGCAAAGTGTTCGACCAGGCATCACTTTTGTTTTGGAGTAAAGACACTGGGGAAAGGCAAGAAGGAAAGCCAGAATCCAAATGCTTCCAATGACGACTTTTGTAGCAGTTGCAGATAGTCTGGGTTTCAGAGGATGTATAATGGCCATGTACCTGTTTTGAACAAACCAAATTCTTGTTAGGAGAATGTGTTTCATATAGGAAAAGTTCAAAGTTCAGTGACTAAGTTTCTTTCTGTGTTGAAGAGCAAAATGAAGATGGGTAAACATATTTTTTAAATATTTATTTTATTCTGAACTTGAGAAATAATACAAGCATTTCCATAACATAGTAGCACCTTTTTTTCTCCCCTCTCCTCAGATGGCTACTATTAGACACAAATATATATATATATATATATATATATATATATATATATATATATATATATATATATATATTATATATGTGTGTGTGTGTGTGTACATATACATATATTATATATATGTAAAACCATTCTATACAGTCTTCTATTTATCAGTTCTTTCTCTGGATGCAGGTAGCATCTTCCTTCATATGTCCTTTGTAGTTAATTTGGGGATTTATGATAGTAAAAATGACTTAGTCACTCAAAGTTGTTCTTAAAAAAATATTGCTATTACTGCACACAGTGTTCTCTTGGTTCTGCTCATCCTGCTCTTCATTATTTCATGCAAGTGGATCCATGTTTTTCTAAGATCATTGAGCTCATCATTTCTGATAGCATAGTAATATTGCATCACAATCACATACCACAACTTGTTCAGCCATTCCCCAACTGACTGGGGTTCTTTGCCACCACAAAGAGAGCTGCTATCAATATGTTAGCTGATAGCACAGTAATATTGCATCACAATCACATACCACAACTTGTTCAGCCATTCCCCAACTGACTGGGGTTCTTTGCCACCACAAAGAGAGCTGCTATCAATGTGTTAGGACATATAGGTTCTTTTTCTTTTTTCTTTTAAATGTTACATTCCAAGAGCAATTCCATATAGCATATACTGCTGAAACAATGTGGATGGTATCTATTCACTTTATAAATCAAAGATATCTTCAATTTTGACAACAGAGAATTAAGAGAGAACAGAGTACACTAAGGATCCAAGTTTGTACCACAAATTATACAAAATATTCCTGAGTAAAACATTGCTCCCTTTCTAATACGGATTGTTTCTTGAACCTGGACATGTACTCATATTCTTGATACTCGTATAATCAGGTTGAATATAAGAACCCACTCTTTAGATACTTGATCAAAATAGTAAGGACATCACAGAATCACAGAATTTTAGGGTTGGAAGGGATCTGAAGTGGTTATCTTGCCCAATGCATACTCCAAAAAGGAGCCCACTACAACCTACCTTACTAATGGTAACCTAACCTTTGACTGAAGAGCTTCAATGAAAGAGATCCCATTACTTCTAAAGTTAGCCCATTCTCCTTTTGGATAGGTCTAGTTTACTAAAATTTTCCCACCATCGAGCGCAAGTTTGCCTCTTTCATCTCTCAACTACTCTGCCCTCTGGGCACAGACAGAACAAGACTGAATTCAAATATTTGAATAAATTCAAATACTTGAAGATAGTTATCATATCCTCCAAGACTTTTCTCTAAGCTAAACATGTGCATTTCTTTCTTCATATGGTGTCAACTTGAAGCTCTTCATTATTCTGGCTTTCTCTAGTTTACCAAAAGTTTTTGTAAAATGTGATTCTCTAAACTGAACAAAAATTTCTAGGTATGGTCTGAACAGGGCAGAAAGAGCAGTATCCTCATCTCCTCATCTCTAAAAGCTGCACTGTTCTTTGTTTAGTTGGAATTATATTGACTTTTTTTTAGCTAACATCTCCTATTGTTGATTCATGTTGAAACTGCAATCCATTAAAACCCCTATATCTTTAAAGACAAACTAGTGTCTAACCATTTTGTACTTGGGAAATTAACATTTTAAATCTTAAGTGTAAAAATGCTTATTTATTACTACCAGTTTCATCTTTTTGATTTAGTCAAATATTCTAACCTGTTTGCATCTCTACTCTGCCATTCAGTGGGTTAGCTAGACCTCCCAGTTTTGTGTCATTTGAGAATTTGAGTAGCTTGCATCAGTATACCTTTATTCAAGTCAATAAAAACATTAAACAGCTCCAGGCCAAGTACAGATATATGGGGGCTCTTTCCTATTTAGCTCCTTCTAAGTTGATATCAAACCCTCAATGACTATTCCTTGAGTTAGGACATTCAACCAAGGAAGGGGAAAAGGAGGGGAACAAGTATTTATTAAACACCTACTATGTGCCAGGCACTGTGCTAAGTGTTTTACATATATTATTTCATTTGATTCTCACAGAAACCCTGGGAGGTAGATGTTATTTTGATCTCCATTTTAGGCTGAGGAAACTGAGGCAGAAATTGTGACTTGCCAAGGGTCTCTCAGCTAATACGAGTCTCAGGTCAGATTTGAACTCAAGTCTTCTTGACTCTGGACCCAGGGCTCCATCCATTGTGTCACCTAGCTGCCTCTGAATCCATTTAATTACAGTATTGTCTAGCCCACATCACTCCACCTTTTCCACAATGCTAGCATGAGAGATCTATTAAATTCTTTGTTTAAGTCTAGGCAAACTATATTTACCAATTCTTTTGAGCAACCAATTTAGAAAACTGTCAAAAAAGAACTTAAGGTTACTTTGGCATGACCTGTTGTTATTGAAGTCTCTTTGTCATCACTGTTTTCTTTTCTAGACATTCACCAAATCACGGTTAAGCTTGATAATTTTCAAATCTCTATGCTTTTTCTTTTTTTAAAAAAATTGGGACATTTGCCCTTCTTCAGTCATGTGGTATTTCTCTCAACCTCCATGATCTTTCAAATATCCTTGACAGTGGCTCAGAATTCATGAATGATAGGTCTTTCAGTATCAAATGGAACTAGGAGCTTTCTTACTCTTTCCTCATTTATACTGTATATCAATTCTCTATTAGCTATTTTTGCTCTGTCCTTTCCAGTCCAAAAGTAATTTTCTTTGCCTGAGAAACAAGCAAATTAACAATTGCACAGATCTGCCTTTATAAGATGTTAGTTATCACCATCCCATACACCCTGGGCAATGGTCCTCTTCTCTCTCTGATTCTCCTTTTCCCCAAATTAGTTAAAAACATATTTTTGTTTTCCTTGACAGCCCAAATACATTTTAAACTTTCACATCCCTGACATGATGCTTACAGTATTGTGCTATACTTTTAGAAGAAGAAGAACAAAACTAAAACAGAAAGGAAAGAGGGATCAAGTATAGGGGATAATGAATAATTGAACTGGTTAAGACTATGTAGGGCTCATCCTTTCTTTCAACTTCTATACATAGCTTTTAAAAATATAAATTATTTGGTGAATCTTCTGTGCATACACATTGGTCTCTTCAAGATAGCTTCTCCCCCCCATAAGAAATATTTGCTATTGTATTTTCACAGGTTTTTTTGTGGGGGGGTGAGGTAATCGAAGTTAAGTGACTTGCCCAGGGTCACACAGATAGTAAGTATCAAGTGTCTGAGTCTGGATTTGAACTCAGTCCTCCTAACTCCAAGGCTGGAGCTCTATCAACTGCACCACCTATCTGCCCATGCATCTTCACAATTTCATCCTTGTGAGTTCCCCAGACAGACTTCTCCTTTAGAATTTTGGCCCAAAAGATTTTACCTATCCTTCCTTGAATCCTTTTAATCTACTCTCCCAAACTCCAGAGTGTATATTTTAGACATTATGTTTATCTTTCCTCTCCTTTTCCATCATAAATTTTAAGATGTACTGGTAATTTCCCATCACAGTTCCCTGTAATTTCTATCCCAGCAACCAGTTCATGGCATTGGTAACAATCTGATCCTGTGCATAATTTCCCCTTTTGGGCGGCTAGACTTAACAGAGTGCTGGACTTTGAGTCAGAAGAACCAGAGTCCAATTCCTGCCTCACACACTTAGCAGCTGTGTGACCCTAGACAAGTCATTTAATTTCTATGACTCTTGATTGCCTCATCTGTAGAATGAGGGAGTTGTACTTCATAGCCTCAAGTTCCCTCCTAGCTCTAAATTTATGATTCTATGATTTTACCACATCTGTCATGACTCTTTCATTTTTTGAAGAATAAAATTATCATTAAGGCATATCAGGATTTTTTTTTAAAGCAGCTCCATTTAAGCTAGAGAAAGCTCAAGCATATGTCTAGATAATGAAAGTCACCCAGCACTACTAGGTCATGTCTCTGTCAATACCTAAATCAAGGAGTGTTTCCATTTACTTTATTCTTTTTAAAACAAGTGTAAAACTTCAGAATCTCCTTTGACTTTCTTCTTTCCTTCATCCCCTATATCCATTCAGTTTACAAGTCTTATATTTCTATTTTCACAATATATCTGTCTATGTTCCTTCTTTTCCACCTCCATGGCAAACATCTTAGTTTGGGCTCCCTTCACCTCTGTACTTGATTATTAGAACAGTACTTTTAAAAATGTAAATGAAGTGTTAAAATTTCTTTCTAAACAGCCCGGTGTTAGCTGATGATCAAAGTGACGAAGTTCTTATTGGAGTTTTCATAAACAAACTATAAGAAAATGTAAAGTAATTACTTAACTTGACGACATACTGAAGAAGTTTCCTAGATGGTCTGATAATACAATAAAGACTTCCTCAGTCAACGTGAGGGCATTGGCCATTGGACAAAGGCAATTGATGGAGCGCAGTGATTGGTTGGCTAAAGGATCAATTATGCCATCAATAACTTCTCACTAACAAAAAAAAGTTTGAAGAAGTCCCCTTTTCACATTTTTCCTTTTACATATTGGAGAGTGCTTATTCACTTAATATATAAATATATACGTATATATATATATATAATTTATATATATTTTATATAATATATAATATATTGATAATAGCTCTTTCTGTAATAGCAAAGAACTGAAAACTTAGGGAATATTCATCAAAAGTGAAATGGCTGAAGATATTGTGGCATATGAACATAATGGACTATTATTAAGAAATTATGAAAAAGCTGGTTTCAGAGAAAACTGGGAAGACATTTATGAACCAAAGCTGAGTGAATTAAGCAGAGCCTTCAGAACGATTTCTTCAATGACA